ACCACCCAGCAACCTGACTCTCCCAACACCCACCTGAAATACATATTAATTAAAGAGGAATCCTACCACCCAGCAACCTGACTCTCCCAACACCCACCTGAAATACATATTAATTAAAGAGGAATCCTACCACCCAGCAACCTGACTCTCCCAACACCCACCTGAAATACATATTAATTAAAGAGGAATCCTACCACCCAGCAACCTGACTCTCCCAACACCCACCTGAAATACATATTAATTAAAGAGGAATCCTACCACCCAGCAACCTGACTCTCCCAACACCCACCTGAAATACATATTAATTAAAGAGGAATCCTACCACCCAGCAACCTGACTCTCCTAACACCCACCTGAAATACATATTAATTAAAGAGGAATCCTACCATCCAGCAACCTGACTCTCCCAACACCCACCTGAAATACATATTAATTAAAGAGGAATCCTACCACCCAGCAACCTGACTCTCCCAACACCCACCTGAAATACATATTAATTAAAGAGGAATCCTACCATCCAGCAACCTGACTCTCCCAACACCCACCTGAAATACATATTAATTAAAGAGGAATCCTACCACCCAGCAACCTGACTCTCCCAACACCCACCTGAAATACATATTAATTAAAGAGGAATCCTACCACCCAGCAACCTGACTCTCCCAACACCCACCTGAAATACATATTAATTAAAGAGGAATCCTACCATCCAGCAACCTGACTCTCCCAACACCCACCTGAAATACATATTAATTAAAGAGGAATCCTACCACCCAGCAACCTGACTCTCCCAACACCCACCTGAAATACAGATTAATTAAAGAGGAATCCAACCACCCAGCAACCTGACTCTCCCAACACCCACCTGAAATACATATTAATTAAAGAGGAATCCTACCACCCAGCAACCTGACTCTCCCAACACCCACCTGAAATACATATTAATTAAAGAGGAATCCTACCACCCAGCAACCTAACTCTCCCAACACCCACCTGAAATACATATTAATTAAAGAGGAATCCTACCACCCAGCAACCTGACTCTCCCAACACCCACCTGAAATACAGATTAATTAAAGAGGGATCCTACCACCCAGCAACCTGACTCTCCCAACACCCACCTGAAATACATATTAATTAAAGAGGAATCCTACCACCCAGCAACCTGACTCTCCAACCAGCATTGTAATATCACGTCATGATCAAAAATTAGTTTGATTTGTCAGGATGCACCCTCAGTGTAATTGTGCACAGGTTTTACTTTATATTTTTGGATGTTTAATAATCATCTGACAAGACGGAAAATGCAGGTGAATGTGTGCTAATAATTCGCAAGATATCTCATCTATGTACTCAGAGCAAAATTAAGTTTCACTGCGTTGTAAAGCTAGAATATATCCTCATTAACTTTATTTTAGACATTTGAATAACAAAGATAGTCTAGATATAACACTGTATAAAACTTCGTGTTCATGACAATATGATACATTAGTACAAATTAGTACATTAGTACATTAGTACATTAGTACATTAGTACATTAGAAACATTAGGTTTCACCTGTTAGCAATGAGGGTTGTGAGCATGGGTAAGAAGACCAGGACAGAAGTGATGATATCAGCTAGAGCTATTCCGTGTACAAATATCAGTGTTACTCTGTCCAGTTTCAAGGCCTGGAAATATATCATCAATTTTACGTTGCTTGATAGATAGATAAACTGCTGATTTGTCCGTTTATTGATCATGATAATGGTACAGTATAATACAGTTGGTTCTTAACTTTAGCATTGCCCTGGGACTAGGTATTTACTTTCATTGTGTAATCTCCGAAGGTATTTAATCAATTTGTAGATAACATCGTTTGAACGATGAAGCTGCTATATAAATTTCTTAAAATTTGTCAAAATTTATTCCTGGTAGCAATTATTTGTCGGGAGTCAGAAGAATGCTGTTATTAATTATTCACTAATTATTCGCCATGAGTTATCATGATAACTGTTTACACATAATAACTGCTGAAGTGGAAATATACCTTGCGTCGAAGAGATCCGTAGAGAACGGTGAGGTTTCCAAAGAAACCGATTGTAATAACTAGTATCAGGTACAGTGATACGATGTACCTGAAATCAGGTAAGTTGTGGTCACAAAGATAGATATATTTGTAATTTTCCAGACTAATTTATCTGTTAGCATTTGTTTACCGCAGAAAAAGGACTATAATATAATAACAGAAAGGCTGGTTGAAATTTCTCACGTTGTAATTTAATGTAAATAAAAATTATTAATCAATACAAAAAACAGCGGCTATAAAAATGATAACGAAATTGTTCACACCACTGAATTACCAGTACGGGGAGCGGAGGTTAAGTTGATGAAGGAGTCCTCTTGATCCGGAGACACTGGTGCTGTTTACCAAAAACATGGCCATAGCTACACTAGCGAGCTTATTATTATGTTAATGAAGGCAGTTTTAAGTTTTAGCGGTGGTCCAATAATAACAATACTTTAGTAAAAGCGAATATAATCTACGTGAGGGCCGCTTAGCCTGTGTTACACTTAAAATTCAATCAACGTAACGGAAGAACGGAAGACGAGTGGATAGGTAATTAATATAGTGCTATTCACTGCATCTAGACTAGCTCAATTTTAAAATATGTCAATAAAGCAATCGATGAGTGGCCGAGTAATCAAGTTATAATATTCTGGAAAGCACAGTTACCTTCAGAGTTCAGGCTCACAATAAAATTACACAATATTCGGCTCGTCTGACGTTTCTGACTGCTCGATCAAGTATTTTGTAACTGTATTACTATTTCCTTCGTTAATTTATTTTGATGGTACCGTTTACAAGCGTAAGACACCGTGTAAATTTGAAGGCGCTATCACGACCACCAAACTATGAGCATAGTGTGGGAATATATTTATGCAGTTATTACATTGAAGGCGCTATCACGACCCCAAACTATGAGCATAATGTGGGAATATCTTTATGCAGTTATTACATTGAAGGCGCTATCACGACCACCAAACTATGAGCATAATTTGGGAATATATTTATGCAGTTATTACATTGAAGGCGCTATCACGACCACCAAACTATGAGCATAATGTGGGAATATATTTATGCAGTTATTACATTGAAGGCGCTATCACGGCCACCAAACTATGAGCATAATGTGGGAATATCTTTATGCAGTTATTACATTGAAGGCGCTATCACGACCACCAAACTATGAGCATAATGTGGGAATATCTTTATTCTTTATGTAGTTATTAAATTGAAGGCGCTATCACGACCACCAAACTATGAATATAATGTGGGAATATCTTTATGCAGTTATTAGATTGAAGGCGCTATCACGACCACCAAACCATGAGCATAATTTGGGAATAGCTTTATGTAGTTATTACATTGAACAGGGTACTGAAACCTTGCTGGACAGCACTTTTAATGTTATTACAACACTACAAATCTATTACATTTATTGAGAATTATGTAATGTAATGTGATGGACATATTTTAAGGTTAGTTATAGAACTGCTGACCTAACGAGTGCCGAAGGCACGATTTTTGTCAGCAGTTTTATAATTTACTTACAGCACGGCTCAAGATCACGGTGATACTTACCGTTTGCGACCAAAAATTTGAAATTTGGAGTTAATTAAAAGGTCGAAAATACCGAAAAACTGATTTTTCACACCTTCAAAAGTGTTCATTGTCCAATGAGAGGCCTTCCATCTGACAGGTAGCGTGCAGGACATCTTGGTATCACGTGGCGATTTCTTGACATATCAATGGATGCTTGGTGTTCTTCATGTGACCTCCGTTATAAACGTACTGTATTTTCATAAGTATCAATGACAGGCGAGCTCCAGGTTGAAGCGTGGAAGGAAGTAAAAAGTGGAAGGAAGTTTAAAAAAAACACTGATACACCAGGGTGTATCAGCCCTCTAAATGGCTAAGAACTATCACGGGTCATACCACGTGACAGTACCTCGTGACTACGTCACTCGGATACCACGTGTATAGACACACCGGAGCCGTGCTGTAAGCGGACATATCCTGTCCAAACCCAGGATGCACGACATGAAGAATTTGTCTTAACTTTATATGAAAAGCATCAATATATTAAATACGACGCGATGGCAAGGAGATGACTCAGCTTGAATATCTGGGTGCAGACGTGGGTATGGTCTCCATAGTTCATATAGCGTGCCAAAATTGAGGTATTGTGAAATCGATTAATTTGATTGTTCTTATTGGACAACATGCTCACAAAGCTGCATCATACAGCAAAACAGAATTGAAGTAATTTTCTCTTTCTGATTAACCAGCTGCTATCTTATCACACACGTGGTATGTTTCAATTACATGTTTATCGCAAGGTTGTGCGAGTTCGTCAGCGTGCAGCTTTCACTTTGGTTTCGGGTTGCTATGCTGTTGATGAGTTCCCAGCATTTTATAAAAGCATGTAATCTGTTGTGATTGGGATTGGAGATTTGGCACAGCAACTGTTCTAGATGATGGGGAATTTAGAGATTGTGATCGATTGTACGTGGAACATATTCAATCCCAATAATAAAGCTCTTAAGAAAATTATTTCTGGAGTAACCCAATAACACGACATTTGATCTGGGCAAAAATAAAATTAAGGAATGGACACTGAATCATCTGAAGCAGCAATTGGTCGAGAAAAACATTTATAATTAGCAATCTGGTATAGACTGATCAGAAATGCACGAGCAGAAATGTCAACTTTGACCTGTGTGCGTATGTGTGGGAAATAGTAACCAAAGTGACATTAATATCACATTGGTTGTGATAACAGATTCCTCGCCTAGAGACCTCTCCTGAATGGAATGCACTTCTCAGACCAGTACTACCATGACGATGCCACATGATTAATATCTAATCAGCCGAATAATCATGAATTGGAGACCAAATTTAGCCAATTCAGCCATTTCACTAATAAATAGTCTAATCTGTAAACACTATCCTCAGGAGGATCACATGGAGGAGTACCTGGAAGAAACCCGGGCAACATTCCAGACCATCGACCAGTTCCTAATGAGCAAGGATTTTGCTATCAGGGACGATCTGCTCGTATCACTTGAGCATCTCCAGGTCAGGATTAACATTGATCAGATTAATTATACAAATTTCCCAAATTATTGTAGCTGTATTATGTATAGACGGCTGAGATTGAAGCTCTGAATTTAGCAAAACAAATTCTATACTGCACAGTGCACATTATCTTAGTTCATTCTTCTAGAAGATTACTAATCCTCTAGTGCTATAATCTTAGATTAGGGATTATGGCAGTACGTACTACGTGCCGTATCTTAGTCGTATCCACAAACGTCGTAGCTTTTGCTACATAACCAACGTCCAACACACCACAAAGTTACTATGATAACTTGGAACACCGTGTAGGTGCTTTAAATACGTCAGCATATGGGCGTTGGCTAGTTTGTAAGTATAAAGATGTCTAGAAGGATTATAAGTGATACTTTGCAGACATCAAAGTGCTTGCTGGGTGCTCACGTTAACCACTTTACTTTAGTGATTAATCAAGTACCAAGCGGTTATGGGATTGGATTTGTCGAATATTCTGAATTATATAGAACTCCCAATCCCCAGGTATATAATATATACCTGGGGATTGGGAGTTCTCAAAATTGTTTTGGGGTCCCTTTAACTTTACTGATTTGTAAACGTGAGGAACAAATAAGAATAAAAAAGTGTAGGAGTGAAAACAGTTCAAGGTCTACTTTCGTTAAAATGGCGGCATACAATATCAATACCATATTGACTTTAACGGATGCTTTTTAAACTTTATAACTTTCTCTAGACAGCACATACCTTGAGAAACGTTTAGTGTGCAGACGACATACAATTTTGTGCAGATAGATTCCATATAAGTTTGTTCACAAAAAATTTAGATGTGCACTGTGCAGTTAGCATTGCTCTTGTGCAGGCACCACAGTTACCAGGTTCAGGTTGTTTCTGTCCATAAGACAACCTCAGTCAAATCATTATGCTCCAGACTCCAGAGGTCTCTTTTACAATCAAGTCTCAAATATGATATGCTTCTGGTACTGTTAATGGAGATAAAATGTCTCAGTAAGGGATTTTTAGAATTAAAACAAGTCTTGAATAATTTAAGGCTCCTGGTACCTTAGCTTCTTCCTTTAAAATACCTTGCCCTTAATCTACGATTGATTATTTTAGTTTTCTCGCCAATTTAAAGGGCACTTAACTTAGTACCTATTTAACTGATACGTTTTCAAATTTGCTGTTTTACAGACTGCAGATCCCAAATCTAATTAATGTGCAAAAACGAAGATAGAAAAAGCTGAATTTCCAATTCTACATGGTAGTTCATAGTGGTGAATACAGTAAAAGTTATGAAATCAGATTGACAAACTGAAATCGAATCATCAGACGAAAGATGTCTGAAACAAATTATATTTTACAAATGGTTCTTCCTTACCGAGCCACCGGTTTGCAAGAAAATTATTTGGACTATCAAATGCTGCTCAAAAGACATCTCGATATGAATATCGACTTTCTGTTGAGTGATTGAAATTCTTCTGGTGAAATTTTATTGCTAAACATTTCCAGCTGATCTGAATTTGATGCTGTTTTTAATTAATTTCCACCCTCAGCTGTACTGCATTCTTACTATTCGTCATTCGTGCAACTCTCTTCTCTCTTCTCTCTACCGGCTCCTTCTAAATATTGCAAATTTAAATGTCCTAGTAAAGATAAAGGCACCCAGCTTAGCAATTTCTTAATATTTAAGTTATAATAATTCAGCTTGGCAAGTTCTTAATAATGATACTTAGGTTATAATAATTCAGCTAACTTCCGATCATTATAATTTAAGATACTACAAAGTTGGAGTAACCGAATTCATTAGACATCATTAGACATTGTTCGATTGCTGGGATCTGAATGACAATACGGGTTATGTAAATGGCTACCTCCATTTGCCTAAACGGTAGAATTGCGACAGAATACTTATTATTATATACCATAGTTCATTTCTAGCTTTAAAATTTGGTATTTGACTAATTCAAAGTCAAGGTCCCATGATGTCATGAATTACGCTTGTTGAGTCTGATTTCCCGACCAGGTAAAGACATGATCACTTTGGTGAGTGTCATTATAGTATGATAGTTTCTATAGTTACTGTGTGATAGTTTCTATAGTTACTGCGTGATAGTTTCTAGGAAACCGGCCGAAAAGTTCGAGCATATTTCTAGCTGGACAATTAGTTGCACGACGAATGATTTCACATGAACATTCAACAATTGTCCAGTTAATTAAACTCACAAAACAAGTTAATAGTGTTGTTTTGACAACTCTCCAATCCTTTAAGTTCGCCTCTGGACAATGACAGTGTTTAAAGCACAGTTGTTGGGGTATGTTTGTGATGTAACTCTCTAGAAGCAGCCGCATCAGATGAACGGTGGTTCCTCTGGTGTCGTTAGTGAATTATCAATACAACAAAATATTGTCCCGGAGCTGTGAGGAAATGGTCATTTTCCTCGGGGTACTGCAGTTTTTACGTTCAGTACGTATATTATTACCAGCGTGGCCAGTAAACTCCAAATAGAGTCCTAAATTTGTACTATATACTTCAATATTGCCGCAGATTTCTTGAATATGTTAAAGATTTACATTCTCTTCGACATCAAATTAGAAGATGTTTCTTATTCAAGATTCGGCGATAATAATCACCGTGCGATTCGTACCTTTTTTGAGCGATATTTTCGGAATGCTGCAAGCTTTCCATACTTGTATATAATTTTGTCATGAATGGTTAATAAGATTGCAGCCAACCGGAAAGTCAGAAATTGAAAACAATGCTGTCTATCACAAGTCTCATTGCTACAAGTATTACGACACATATTTTAAATTTATTGAAAGGATTAATGAAAGGATTTCTCTCACCGTCACACTCACCCAACAAAAATACTGATACTTATCTTTTGAACTAAATTCGCGAAAGCACGTGACGTCGCGTTATGGTCAGTAGGTAAGATCAATTCTTCACTAGACTCGTGCAAATATTTAATCCTATAGAAAACCGAGTTTCCTCGGTAACGTGATTCAAAGCTACTTATTCCTTCAAACTGTATGACTCAATGAGTATATTATATATGCACCGATAACATGCAATGCTGCAATTGTGATATATATATATATATCATGTCATTTGGCTCATCGTTACTGGACATTGTCTAGTGTCTACTGACCCATACTATTGTGAAGAAGGAATCTTGTAATTTATATCATATGTACATAAGTAAGTAGAAAATTCTGTTGTTCTGCAATTAATATTGGATAACTCCTCGGCCACCTCGGGGGATGTTTTAAGTGCTTACAGCTGTGCATAGTTTTAAATTATCCTGATAATAAAATGCGATTATAGGCCCCCGTGAATGTTTTTTAAAACTATCAGCCTCATTTTACGTTCAGAGTTCAAATCTTTGCTCCATGACAGTAACCAGGATTATTGATCCAGACAGAGTAATAATATACTAGAGCTCAAGCTTATATAATTATGAGCCAAGTACATATTATTACGTTTTTTGTTTTTATTGGAGCATCCTGCGGCTTACTGCAAAATCAGCAAATAACTTTGAAAATCCCTAATTGTAAGAGTTTAAGTTACACAGTCTTATCAAAAGACTCGCAATGTATAAATTTGGATAATGAGAGGTGATTATAGTCAATATGGGCACCACATTTTCAAACCTATTAACAATCTAACAATAGATTAAGTGTTTTAATCTTAGGCCTTTTCCCCTAAGATCTTAGCTTTTCCCGAATCTATACCTTAATGGCCCGAATATAACCCTGATCATAATCATGGCTGAGTCGAAATTTACTACAGGCATGGTTCAAGCTGAGTTTGAAGAAATATTGGATCGTAGTTTTAATAAAAATAATATAATTTATCGTATTTTGATGATGGAATTTTTGGCACGAACCGACCCGGCACACAACCAATATACAGCAGGAATTTGAGAATATATCGCGCACTAGTCAACCACCTACTTTCTTGACCTCTTTGTTATTCTGATTTTATTGAATTCCGAAAATTCTAACATTTCTAGAGATATTCGATTTTTTACCAGCGATAGAATTTAAAATTTAAAGAATTTGCGTCGATATACCGACGCAAATTCTTAAAAGATACTGCAGTGTCGAGTCTAACGATTCTAGCAGCTGATGTTTCGGATGAAAATGTCTGATGATTCAATGTAATGTTCCTATCCGGATGTTACACGTTTCTAGCAGCGCAACTCTCGTAAGCTCCTTTCTCGACCTCTTTTTTATTGAAGAATGCCGAAAATTCAAACAAATTTAAAAAATCTGCGTCGGTTTACCGTAGTTTCGGCCCTTTGAGACTTGACAACAAAAAAGCATCAGTAAATGGGGGCCGATTTTAACTGTCAACATCGCGGCCTGGTAGATCAATAATAATCAACCGGTGCAATAAAGCAATATTATGCGGAATATCTCTGCGTCTTGATCTATTTAATTGAACTAATTGTTCTTGATGCACAGTGGATTAGGTCATCATTAGTACTGATGAGCTATTTAGTATTTTCTCTTTACATTAATTCTTTGTAATTCTAACTGCTCATCCGTAATCCTTTTTTGTATCTTGTACCTTTTTCTATCTTCCGTTACCCCAAATGTTAATTGTAGCTGTTTTAGTTCTCAGGTAAACTCTAAATTCGAAAATATTAGTTATATTTGTAGCAGTGCCGTTATTTTGCTAAACTTACTTCAGAGTAATTAATCAAACTTCCGAGTTATTTATAATCACACTCTTGATATACTAATCACATTCCTGACCATCCTCATTTGTACTTGTTCATTCCCAGTTAAACTTAGATATCCGATAGCCTCACCACTCTTAAATCAGGGTATTTCTTGGTCTACTCATCAAAATATTGCTATCAGATCAAACTTGTTTCACATAGGTTTGTCGTATGATCTGACTGATATCTATTAACTCAACCATTCCCGCCTTCCCGGCCCCGTGACTATGCTACCATCACGTGACGTGTATGACTAGGAGATATTAACTGTGCAAAAAGAGC